CCTGGCTGTTGCTGGAAGCCCTGGATGCTGGGTCCACGACTGCTTTGGTATACACCTTGACTTATTGTAAAGCCAGCCTCTCATGGTCCCTATAGAGATGTGGGCAGAATGTGATGGGAGCTGAGTATAATGATGGAGTTATCTAACCTGGCTGTCCTTTCTCTAGTTTGGCTACTTCGTATCTTTTGGGATGTGCTCAGTGTGCTTCTTCACCCTTCCTCCTTCAACTCTCTGAGAAATAAAAAAACCTCCATTTTGCTACAGGTAGTTTGCAGCCCAGTTTTCCCATCAAATTTGTATCCTGAGTCTATGTGGTGATACAAGGGTGACTGCTATGGTGGTGAACTTTGGTTGTATATGAGGAGTCTCTTGCAGGTGCATGTGGAGTTCTGAAGGGCTCTAATGGATGTATATTGAGTTCTGAGAGAGTACAATGCCTTACTGATGAGGCTGTGTAAAAGGAGCTGGTCGAAGAAAAAGTGGGGTTGAATGAGGTTTGCTAGTGGTTTGCCTAGGAGAGCTGGAATAAAGGGGAACATTCATACAAAAGCCTGGGGCTACATAAGGTGGTTTGTGAGAGGCTGCATAAGGGGTCTTTTGGTTAAACAAGTGGCACCAAATATGAAGGAGGCTGGTGGTTGTGTATTGGTGACGTTAGTCATAGTAGATCTTACTTGGAAATTAATAATTTAGCAGAAACTCTAATTGAGTTGCTTACGTGAAATTTGCTCTTTTTTCCTTACATAGAGAGTTTTTGGGTGTATTTGCCATAGTTTATTTATTTATGTTCTTTGTATTTGTGTTTTCACTTTTTCATGTGTATTTGATTATTGTCACCTGACATTTTTATTTAAATTTTTTTAGTGTCTGTTTTTTCTTTCGGTAACTAAAAACGTAACGTGGTATTAAACCCAAAGGCAAACATTTTATTATATTTCAATTCACCAATTCCTAGATGTGATGGCTACATTAGTTCCCTTTTTTAGGCTTTCTTTCTATTGTTTTCATCTGGTGATCCAGCCAGTAAGTCTGTTGTTTTTTCAAAATCACAAGCTTTCCATAAGAATGTATCAGTTCACATGGATGAAGCTGTCCTACAGATGTAGCAGTTACAGAGTGTAAAAACTTTATCCCAAAAGGGAAAAAAAACTGTTGCTGTAGCTGATTATAAAGTGTGAGCTGGAGTTTGGCTTCAATTTGTTAGTGTATCTACAGTAAATCTGCTAACAAATATAATGCTACCCTCCCCTCCAGACTGACAATACTGCTGTCTGCTGAGTCTATTCATCCCAAGTTGTGTCTCACTAATACACGTGATGTGTTACTGGCCAGATCACCAGCTGAAAACAGAGGGGGAAAAAAAAAGCCACAGAAAAGAAAACTGATGCAGCCAACACATCTAATAATTGGTAAGCTGCAATATATTACATTTTTGGTTTTGTTATCACGTGTGGCTAACTAGAGGTCATTTTGGGCACAAGAACAGGTCCAGGATAAATACAATGAGCTTAGCCTTCAAAAGTGATTTAAAGCCAATTGAACCCTTTAAAACTACCAAGAACCTTAACCACTTGCTGACTTCCCCATAGCAGATGTACTGCTATAGGGCGGCAGCACTGTGCAAAATCATGTATGTATACGTAATTTAGCATTTCCGGGAAGGAGGCACGCACGCACTGCCCTACCCGCAATGTCAATCATTGGGTCCCACCCAGCGATCCCCAGCCGGAGCTCAGTGATTGGCGGAGCAGCTGACAAGGGAGAGATCTGTGTGTAAACACAGATATCTCTCCTGTCAGCGAGAATGCACTGCTTTCTATCTGCAAAGCAGAAAGATAGAAAGCAGCACATCCCCTAGTAAAACACTACACAGTAATCATAAAGCAGTACAATTAACCCTTTTGACTTCCCAGATGTTAACTCCTTCATGCCCAGTGTCATTAGTACAGTGTCAGTGCTTTTTATTAGCACTGATCACTGTACTCGTGTCACTGGATATGTCAGTGGCAGTTAGTTACTTCCCACCGAGTGTCAGTTAGTATCAGAATGCTCGCTGCAGTCCCACTATAAATCGCCATCACTAGCATAAAAACAAAATAAATAAAAATTTCCAGTATATATTCCGCCGCCATATATAGAGTCTATAACTTTCACTTAAAGCAGTAGTAAACTGCAGGAAAAAAAAATCCCCTGCAAAGTAATGTCGTAATGTGCTCGTATGCATTGCATATGAGTACAATATGTAAAACGTACCTTAAAACTAAGCCCTTCAGTGGCGTGCTGTCACCACTGTAGAGGCTTCCATCTTCACCCATCTTCCTTCCAGGTTCGCGAGCTCTGGCCGCCTGACAGGCCAGGCCACGATGACATCACTCCCGCACTTGCACACAGGAGTCCCGGGCCATGGCACACAGCTCTGAAGGAATAGCATGAATGTGCCGTTCCTTCAGTGCGCATGCGCCGGCTTAAATAAAGAGAGAATATCTCCTAAACGGTGCACATTTAGGAGATATTCATTTTACCTACAGCTAAGCTTTATTATTAAATCCTGTATAATAATTATAAGCTTTCCTGTGGGTAAAATTAAAATAAACAAGTTTATTACCACTTTAAACCAATTAATATACACTTATTGGGATTTTTTTTACCAAAGACATTTTGGCCTAAATGAATGAAGAAATTATATAGATTTTTTTATATAATTAATATTTGTTATTAATTTTCAAAAGAAGCATCTTGTATAACATACAACAAAAAAGGGATAATGGCCGCATGCAGGCGGGTGAAAAGTATAACAGTGTCTGATGAACAATAGTCATATCAATAGCCTATAATGAGAAGGTTTAGCTTAGAAGGGGCAATCCTGGGTCAGAGATGTTACAGTTATTCAGCTAGCTCTTTTCTATAGGTTATCGGTAACATAGACGATATGACCGTCCACCTCGAAGACAAAGTACTAGATGCGTATTTTGTAAACAATAATGAACAAAAAGAAGAAAAATAGAAAAAGAAAGAAAAGAAAGAGATATAGGACTTTCCATTCTCCGGAAGTTACCCATGTCCACCAGCTGGGAGAGACCAAAAACCCTCCATTTTTTAAATTTTTTTATTGGATATATTTTATAGCAAAAAGTAAAAAAAAAATTTTTTTTCTAAACTGTTGGTCTTTTTGTTTATAGCACAAAAAAATAAAAAAAAAGCACAGGTGATCAAATACCACCAAAAGAAAGCTCTATTTATTTGTGGGGAAAAAATTACATACATTTCATTTATGTACAGTGTTGTATAGCCACGCAATTGTCAATTGGTAAAGTAACGCAGCGCCGTATCACAAAAAATGGCCTGGTCATGAACGGGGGTAAATCTTCCTGAGGACAAGTGGTCAAAGTGGTTCTAAAGGCTCAAGGTTTTTTTCCTTCATGCATTCTATGCATTAAGGTAAAAAACGTGTTTGTTTGTAGCAGCCCCCCCAATACTTACCTGAGCCCTATCCCAATCCAGCCATGTCCACGAGAGCCTCGGTTCTCCGGGGACTCTCACTCCTGATTGGCTGAGGCAGCAGCAGGAGCCATTGTCAATCACAGCCAGTGAGTCAATCAGGAGAAGGAGGGAGTGGGAGGGCAGGGCGGATCCACGGTTGTCTGTGTGAATGGACATGCAGAGCTGCAGCTAGGGAGCACACATCCTCAGGTGCCACCATAGCAAGCTGATTGCTCTGGGGGCATCCAGCAGGAAGGAGGGGCAGGAGCACTGTCGGGGAACCCGAGAAGAGGAGGATCCAGGCTGCTCTGTGCAAAAAACACTGTACACAGCAAGTAAGTATAACATGTTTGTTATTTTTTTTAAATATATAGTGCTGGTCAAATGTGTTAAACATACAAGGTGCTTATCCCAAAATTCCAGAGCCATAAAAAACATACAGAGAAGAAAAAGGGACTTTTTAAGCATCAAAACTACAAAAAGAAAAAAAGATCTTATATAAAAAATACTAATTTATTGAACATAGTACATCAATGAAAAAACATAGACACAATACATAAAACCTAATTGTGATGTGGATGGCGATGATTAGGCTATATATCACCAAAGAGATTCATTGAATTTATAATTTGAATCTTCTTCAGGGCCAAAGGTGAAATGCCATAAACAGTATTCTATAAAATAATAAAGTAATTCATTGAAGAGAAAAAAAAAAACACACACACACCATATGAAGAGTGACTCACATTGCCATTCATAAAAACAGAAATTCAAAGGATCCTTGTTGGACAAGGCTGTTTTTTTTTATATTTTTGCCTCTCCCCATATGGATATCTCTCTCTGTTTCAGTTGTCTGGGTTGATTTAATGGGGATCCCTATGACTAAGTCGGATATGACGAAACGCATCAGGGCATGGCTGGCGGCCCACTGGAAGTGGCGCTGACTGGAACCGGAAGTGACATAGGAGCGTCAGTGATCGAGTATCTGGCGGTGGTGAGAGCACTGGCTCTGCTTTTTTTCCCTCATGCACATTTTATGCAACATCTTTGGGCTTTTAATTCTCGTTTGTCTTGTAAGTGACAGTCCACTTTGGCAATAAAGGAGATTTGTTTCGTACTGCACCACTGGGGTTATCTATTCTTTTCTCTTACATGGTCATTTTTTGAGTGTGGATTATTAGGAGGAAAGAAGATTCCCTGATTATCCCTGATTATTACTACTGAGTACCCGATAAAAGTTCTTGGTCGATTTGAAAGGAAAGGAGAGTAAAATATAATGGTACGGATAATCTCCTTTCCCCATTGAAGAACATCTATTAAACCAATTTTGCCAACCATGAGAGTGTGAGGCAATACTTGCTGGTGAGTGTACACCTGAGAGGGGGAACACTTCTTTTCATTTTTTCAAGTGGTGGTCATCTTTTAAGAAGTTTGAAGAACCATTTGGTGGATAATCTGATATTATTTGGACTTTGTGGGGGGACTATACACTTTACTTTATTTTATTCCTTTTATTTTTTATAATTTGTTACATTTTCTTCACGTATAAGAGTTATGCGCTACTTGATCACTTGTTGAGTGTTCTCTTATGCATTCCTACCATTGACACCAATGATGGGGCACTATTCCTCTCACTGGCACCAATGATGGAGCAATATTGATGGGACTTCCCACTGACACCAATGGTGGGAACCTATTCCTTCCACTGATTCCAATGATGGGGTGCTAATCCCCCCACTGACACCAATGATGGAGCACTATTCCTACCACTGACAGCAACAATGGGGTACTATTCCTCCCACAGACACCAATGATGGGGGCACTATTCCTCCCACAGACACCAATGATGGGGGCACTATTCCTCCCACAGACACCAATGATGGGGCACTATTCCTCCTACTAATACTATTCATGGGGCATTGTTTATTCCCAAGCCAGGACATTTTTTTACTCTCACTGGCCACAGTCCGGCCCCTCCAAGGTTCGAAAGACAGTAAACTGGACCTTTCTTTAGAAAGTTTGGAGACCCCTGATGTAAGGCATAAAGTGAAGAGCACATAGTGCTGACTGCAAACCACTAATTGTAATAAAAATGTCCACATATACACTCACATGGTAAATAGATCAAAAGCATGTGTAAGAACACACAATAAACTCCAATAAGATGGTGTCCTAGCTTCACCTCGACGAATGTCATTTTATAGAATGAATGTGGTCCTGTGGGTTGGTTGTGGGCAGAGCAACAAACCATAGGTATGCTACCAGGGAGGCTCTAGGATAGTAAGTTTACAATCTTCAAGATCATTCAGATTATTAGAAGTAAGCTAGAAATAATTGAAATACAATTGAAAATGGAAACTATATGGATTAAAATTTTAAATGTAATGGGTGGCATTGATTTCTTTTTTCAGGTATTTTTCCTTTATTTTCACCTGATGATCCTGCCAGTAACACATTTAGGGTGACAAAACTTAGTCACAGTACTGAATCTAAGGAGGAGCAGCATTGTTACCCTAGGACAGTGGTCGGCAAGCCGCGGCTCACGAGCCACATGCGGCTCTTTACACACATTAATGCGGCTCTTCTGTGTGCCGGGCGCGCGCTCCCCTCCCTCCTCTCGGGCGGCCGCCCCAAAAGTCAGGACTCTGCAGCTAGCCCAGCAATGGGCAAACTACGGCCCGGCGGACCTTTTAATCCGGCCCGTGGAGCGTGGCAAACATTGGCTGTCAGGATTTAGGCGGGGCAGCGTGACGAACTCCTCTCCTCTCACAGTCCGCCCTGAAGACCGGAACGGCGCGGGAACACGGTGAGAGGAACGTGCGGAGCAAAGGTAAGTGAATTGACACAATATGGGGAATGAATTACTATAGGGGGGATGAATTACTATAGGGGGGATGAATTACTATATGGGGGATGAATTACTATGGGGGATGAATTACTATATGGGGGATTAATTACTATGGGGGATGAATTACTATATGGGGGATGAATTACTATGGGGGATGAATTACTATGGGGGATTAATTACTATGGGGGATGAATTACTATATGGGGGATGAATTACTATGGGGGATGAATTACACTATGGGGGATGAATTACTATATGGGGGATGAATTACTATGGGGGATGAATTACTATATGGGGGATGAATTACTATGGGGGATGAATTACTATATGGGGGATGAATTAATATGGGGGATGAATTACTATGGGGGATGAATTACTATGGGGGATGAATTACTATAGGGGGGATGAATTACTATGGGGGATGAATTACTATGGGGGATGAATTACTATATGGGGGATGAATTACTATAGGGGATGAATTACTATATGGTGGATGAATTACTATATGGGGGATGAATTACTATATGGGGGATGAATTACTATAGGGGGGATGAATTACTATGGGGGATGAATTACTATATGGGGGATGAATTAGTATGGGGGATGAATTACTATATGGGGGATGAATTACTATATGGGGGATGAATTACTATGGGGGATGAATTACTATATGGGGGATGTATTTTCAGTTTTAAAAATGCGGCTCTCAAAATAAATTTCAATCGTGGTTTTGGCGAGATTTGGCTCAGTTGAAAAAAAAAAGGTTGCCCACCACTGCCCTAGGACAAGAAGTATGTTAAGACCAAAGAACACCTTTCCCTTTCACCATCTTCATACTACGGGGGGTATTCTGTAGTCTTTAGTGAAAACTGGGAACAATGTAACTGATATTTTTTTGAACTTATTGAACAGATATACAAAACACTATATATTTAAAAAAAAAACTCAGCAGGAGAAAATAACTGATTAATTAATTGTTACATACATTTGAATTTCACCTTTCCCTTTGACCCCAGTGCAGATCATCAAGATGACACAATTCTGCTGAATCTCCTGATTTTCACTGAAATTTCAGCCTGGGTTCACACTAATGCGGTGCAGAATTTGCAGTGGTTTCTGTGCGAATTCTGCACCACATCATAATCACACCTCATTCATGCAAACAGCAGCGGGTGTGTATGTTAAGTTAACACACACCCCGAAATCGGTTCGCAATAACGCGGTGTGATGTGCAGAATCGGATCACATAGGTGTGAACAACCGTGAGATCCGATTCTAGTGTGGACAAAAAAAGGGTCCTGCACCTTTTTGGTGCGGATGAGGTGCGATTTGAGGCTCGAATCGCACCGCACAGAATTCGCATGTGATGTACACAGGAATGCGGTGTGGTTCCTGTGTGAATCACATGCTATATGCCGCACAAGTGTGAACCCAGGCTCAGGGAACCAATTCCAAATTGTATTCATCCCAGTTTAGGAGGATGAATGGTTCTGATGGTGGATGCACACACTGATACAGTATACAGTATATGGCTGTAATTTGGATGTGTGTGGTTGCATGAGAAGATAATGTCACATATGTCTGTATAGAGTGTTGACTGTATGCATCTTATACAGTACAGCTGCTTTTGAGGAGGCTGCTTTGTACAGCTGCAGATGGAGAGACACGGGTGCCTAGATCTTGCATCCTTGATGGTTTCTAAAGCGGAGTTCCACTCACCCTGTAAAAAAATAGAAGTCAGTAGCTACAAAACTGCATATAAAAAAGTAATTTTAACATATATGTTTACAAAACGTAAATGCATTCCAAAAATGTAGATTTGTATTTTTAAAGACATACAGTATATTTTAAATGTATTTTTAAAAATATTTTTCATATATTTTGTAATTTTGTAATAAAAACGTGTTTCAACATGCAGTGTTTATATATATATATATATATATATATATATATATATATACACAGTGGGGATCGAAAGTTTGGGCACCCCAGCTAAACATTTGTATTAATGTGCATAAAGAAGCCAAGGAAAGATGGAAAAATCTCCAAAAGGCATCAAATTACAGATTAGACATTCCTATAATATGTCAACAAAAGTAAATTTTATTTCCATCATTTACACTTTCAAAATAACAGAAAACAAAAAAATGACGTCTGCAAAAGTTTGGGCACCCTGCAGAGTTTATAGCATGCACTGCCCCCTTTGCAAGCTGAGACAGCTTGTAAATGGATTTTCTAAAGCATCGTCTGGGAAGACCTTATCAATCTCAAAGTTTTTAAATGCCCAGGTACTCATCTGCCCTTGCCCCAACAATCAGCACCATGGGTTCTTCTAAGCCTGTCTGTCTAGAAAACTGAAAAGGTGATCCATAGATTGACGCTCACAAAGCTGGAGGTCAGGAAGATTGATAGCAAAGCGTTTTTATGTCAATATCCTCTTTCGAATGTAATTAAGAAATGGCAGTGTGTTTCAGGAACAGTGGAAGTTAAAGCAAGATCTGGAAGACCAGCTTTTTCAATGGCATCAGACAGAACAGCTCGCAGGATTGTGAGAAAAACAATTCAAAACCCACGTTTGACTCTGAGACGATCCCTCCAGGCTGCAACACAACCCCAAAGCATGATTGTCCATACCCCATGCTTAACAGTTGGACAGAGGTTCTTTTCATTAAATTCTGTGCCCCTTCTTCTCCAAACGTACCTTTGCTCATTCCGGCCAAAAATCATCGTTTTAACCTTTGGTCAACATGAACTATAGTTTCCAAAATGCCTGATGCATTTTGGAAATATGTTCTGTGGACCGATGAGGTTAAAATTGAACTTTTTGGCCGGAATGAGCAAAGGTACGTTTGGAGAAGAAGGGGCACAGAATCTTAATGAAAAGAACCTCTGTCCAACTTTAACAAGGGTTGGATCAATCATGCTTTGGGGTTGTGTTGCAGCCAGTGTCTGCACAGGGAACTTTCTCACGAGTAGAAACGGGGTTTTGATGGATTCTCAATAAACTTTCAGCAAATTTGTCTGATGGTTTTCTTGATCTCTGTGAAAAAGCTGAAGTTAAAGAGAGGATGTTCTACAAATGATAATGATTTCTAAATTACATCGAAATCCACGGGGGATTACATCAAAAGGCGTTGCTGAAGGTTTTAGCCATGGTCACAATCTTTGTGACGTCAACTATTTTCAGTTTCAGTTTTCTAGGACAACTGCTTAAAGAAGACAGACCCATGAGTCTCAAAGAACTGGGGACTTTTGTAAGAAGAATGGGCAAAGATACCTCAAACAAGATTGAAAGACTCTTGAGTGGCTTCAAAAATGTTTAGAAGCTGACACTGAGGTCTCAGCTTGCAAAGGGGGCAGTACAAGATATTAACTCTGCAGGGTGCCCAAACTTTTGCAGACGCCATTTTTTTGTTTTCTGTTATTTTGAAAGTGTAAATGATGGAAATAAAATTTAACTTTTGTTGACATATTATAAGAATGTCTAATCTGTAATTTGATGCCTTTTGGAGATTTTTCCATCTTTCCTTGGCTTCTTTATGCACATTAATACAAATTTTTAGCTGGGGTGCCAAACTTTCGATCCCCACTGTATATATATTGATTATATTATATTGATTATGGACAAAATTGTAGCATATCAAATATATGACAATGGATTTGGGAAGAATATCTTTAAAATATATTTCAAATATATTTTTTTTCCATATGGGTGACCTTCAGTAACCTGACTTAATTACAAACTCAGTTACCATGAGCTGGAGCGGAGTGTCAACTCATGGGGCCCCCCGGGCAATGGGAAATCATGGGGCCCCTGTTCCCTCTCCCACACTCAAACCACACCCAAAAAAGACTATGAAAGGTATGAGGGGAATCTCATGGGGCCCCCTACTGACCCCGGGCCCTCGGGCAGTGCTTGAAGGCCTAAATGGTCAGTCTGCCCCTGACCATGAGTCTTAACATAATGAATTTACCTACACTAACACTAGTTGCACACTAGAGTGTGCTACATAAACAACATATGTAGCAGTTAATAAAT